TCATACGAAGAGGAGATTAAAGCATGTCGGCATACGTGGATTCAGGTGATGAAGACGTCGGCAGAGAACCGAACGCAATGGAGACGTGAGGCTGAAGCCCTATGTTCCTCTAGGAACTAAAGAAGGCATTAATAATAATTCCCTTAAAAATGGTTCATACACATGAAACAGACACATCACAGTAGTCAGTACGGTGATGGAATAATTGGTAGTGATAATTATTTGTCATTCATATTTACACATTAGCTGCGGAAGTAAGTGATAGACAGTGTTAGAAGTTGCAATAGAACATACTGACATATCTACTTTTAAAATTCGGCATCGTCTCTTTACTTTACTTCGACAAAAAGAATGAATTATGGTTTACAGAGATTTTACTAATATTAAATCAGTTAGAGGACCAGATGTTTCGTCCTTGTTTGGGATTGTTCAACAGCATGCACACATGACTCCAGCAATCATCATCCAGTTCTTTCACCATTCAACCACTAGGACAGAATTCAATTGTAACTTCTCTGAAGCATGAAACACTTGTCTAGTACTTCTTCCTGGTTTTCAGTAGATCTCTGAATGAAGTCACTTCGTGAGCAAAAATGGAAATAAAGTATGGAGTCGTAATAAATATATTCTTATTTCAGCTTATACAGTAAATAGCCTTTTATATCGCCATTTCACAGTCGCTTAAACTTCGTATGAACTAAAGTTGACAGATTATCAGAACCACTATATTGATAGGATATACACCATTATGTTCTGTGTACAAATTCAAAGACAAACTTATGTTCCAGGAACCGCTAAAATCGTTTTTCAAAAGGAAAATAAAAGCTTAGCTCATAGGACATCACTACATTAAAAATATCAACCAGAGCTATAAATTCCCTCCATTATTTGAAAGTCTGAAAACTATGTATTTCGCCGTTTGCTCGGCTAAATGATTTACCTATAGTGACTCGTACTTGAGATTGATCGGTAGTACGCCACCACCATCGGGGTTCGAACCCAGGACCTTCCGATTGCAAGGCAAGCTCGTAGACCATTCAACCTCTGGGAGCCAATGGTTCATGAATTCTCACTTCTAGCAATTCGTAATTTTATCTCGACTACCGGTCACTCTCATCGGTGAGTATCTCTATCGCAGTGGGTGAGTGTATTATCAATGAATCCCAAACTAGGGCGAAACAGCTGTCCAGTATTCCATGCTGGTTTTCAATAGTTCTCTAACTGACACGGTTCCATAGTTACACTGGAACCAAATCAAATCTATACAGATTAGCTCTTGTAAAATTATTTGTTTCATATGTCCCCTGTTGCTGATTGCTTAGGAGTTAAAATCTGAACATTCTCAAGTATGTCTACACATTGAAGTGATTGGTTTCTAAAAGTAGTACGCTGTTCACTTGTACTATTGACATGATTTTGTGAGTAGTATATTATGTGTGTGCGATATCTTCCACAAGAATATTGAATAACAGAGAGACGGGTTAAAATGGCAAAGAGGAGAAATGAACAATCCTTGTGGAAAAACACAGAAAATTATCAGATGAAAACTAAAAAGCACAATACGAAGAACATGTGCAAACTAACATATTAGTTTAGCGTTTCTGGTTTTTGCCATAACTGCATATCATTTTCTCAAATAGCGATTTCTCTACAAATGCTACCGTGTTCTGCTGTTATGCATACAGTTTCAGCAACTTAAGCATTACACGCTAGTTCAATGAGCTATAATAATGGATTTCTGAAAAAGAAGTAGCACTTAGATGCCTAAGGATAGTTGAGAATTCCCAACAGTTATTGATATAATTACATTGAACCAACAGATCTGTGTCAGTATATAGATTTTCTTATTATAACTTGATTCCACACAGTATTTTGGTACAAGTATGAAATGTTTAGCATGTGACATCGGTAGCCCGAATTTAGCAGGATTACCATTGATATCAGGTGTGCGTCGTCTGGGGATCGAATCCCATACCATGTGCATGGTCGACGAGCGTCCTCACCGCAATGCCACCGACGCAAATAGATGAATGAATGGTTAGTTACTTCTTCGGAATTTACATTGGCTAACAGAATGAAATTTGAGATATTCGTTTACTAAGCTTAAGAAATACAGATGGATTGGACACACGTTGAGCAGATCGTTAATCGACTTCAGATGTCAGGCCCTAGACTGGAATCTGAATAGGAAACAATGAGTTAAGCATTGCTCAAACAAAGACATAATGGAGATGAAAGCTTGAATGCTAGGAAGGATTTCAGAGAATCGAGTAGCATGCAAATGTGCTGATGAAGCCTTAATTTTCCACTTGGAATCCGAAGGAATGGTAATATAAAGACAATTTTTAAAAAATCAATATACAGTCAGATGGAAAGATGGCAATTCATTTCCTTGAGAATCAACAGAGTGGAATTTAGTGGCACACTTCAATTCTGACAAAAAAAGACGTATTTCCTATTCATTTTTTTGGTATTTTCTCTTTAGGTGTGGGCTTAAAACACGTTCAAGCATAAATAATCATACTGGCATAGAAAAAAAACTGAAAATTGAAAAGAGCAGAAATAACAATAAAAAAAATTAAAAATTAAATAAGTGATTTCTTGGAGCTACATACTACTGATTGTTTGAAATGAGTAGTTGTACGCCACTTAAATGAACCAGTTGTGCTTGCTAGCCACCTCAAAGTGGTCTAAATAACGGTTATCCCAGTCAGTCAGTCAGTCAGTTGAATATAGTTTTACACATTTACAATTCCTTTCTGGGTTGTTATATATGGCATCAGGCAGCATCAGACACGCGCATTGTGATCCGAATAATTTTAGTTTCCGACGAAAATTGCACCAGTGAAATTCCACCTCTTCGAACTGAGTTTAATTTGTAGAATACGAATTTGATGTAAGTAATATTTTTTTGGATATAAACGTTTTTCGAAACATTTGTAATTTGACGTGAAAATTATTACTATTATTGTATTATTACTGTTGGCTTGGATTCCGAGTGGAACATACGGCTTCAACACAACATCTCCACTTTGTCCTATTCTCTGCGGTTCTCCTTATCTGACTTCACGACTGCCCATAGCCTCTGATCCCCTCCGATCCATCTCCATTTTTACCTAAAAAATATTTCTTGGGCAACAGGTTCATGGTTAGTTGACTTCCAGAGTTTCTTGTTGCTAATTCTTTCTGTCCAGACATCTGGTCTTCAAAAAGGAGCCAAGGAAAGCAGTTGTTAATAAAAGTCTGCAGTAGCCTGCTGAAAATGTTTCTGATGAGGCGCCAAGTTTTCAACCCATATAGAAGAACTGACTGACTGAAAATACGAATCTTGTTCTGTGTGTTGCGGAATGCAGAAGATTTGTTAACTGATTTTAGATTGATAAAGGTGTGTCTTGCGTTTTCGATACTGCCTTTCTTTGACATCTTCATCCGTGCTGTCGTCTGTAGTTGGCAGCATAGTGATAGCAACTGGTACTTGTTGTTGTTGGCTGATTGATTATTTTCATCACCTTCGTCTTCTATATGTTCATTTCAAGTCTTGCCTTCACTGGTAGCTTCTTCTACCAGCTTGTTGGTTTTTTCTAGTAAGTCTTTGAGTTTGTGTGAAAGCAGACATATAGTCCACGAAGTTGACATCTTTTAGAGTTTTCTTTTTAGCCCAACGTAATCCTATTTTCTCGCTCCACACAGCCTGACATTTAATTCAGTTCATCACAATTAAGAGTATCATTCTGTCTATCTGTCTGGATTCAACATAGAACTTGGCACCGAAGTGCAGCAGTTCGAGTTGCCACGTTCCAAAGAGCACACAAAGGTAGACAAGAAAGTGAGTGAAGAGAATCAATAGAGTTTTGACAAGTATAAGAGTGAAACAGAATGAGTAATGGTAGAAAGAAATATGAAAGATTACAGAGACTGAATACATCTGCGTAAGCCATTGCCAACGATTTTGAGCCATGTCACCTATTGTCTCCAGCCATTGATTCTTAGAGTCCCGAGGGCCCCAACCCAGAAGTCTGCATCTCCCTACCTGACTCAGTTAAACTGTCAAGGATTTCATGGATTGATGCCATGTTTTTGTTTGGCCACCACTTACTCTTTTTCAACCTGCACCTATATCAGCTAGTAATGCCCGTCCGTCGAGGGAGGCGATGGTTAGGCATGCTCAGCACGTCACCTAACCATCTCAATCTATGTAACTTTATAGCCTCTTCGATTGATTTTCCCTCTTTGCCCAGCGCTCTACGCCTAACGTCAACATTACTTACCTTATTATACCACCTCCTAACGTGAGAAAGAGATCGTAGACATCAATGATCAAAAACAGTGAGCCTTTTCATGTCTTCAACTCGTATTGGCCATGTTTCAGAGCCATAGAGAAGGACGGAGTGAACTACTGAGCAGTACACACGTCCCTTGGTTGATAGCCGGATGTCACGCCTACGCCAGAGACGGTGTAAGTTAGCGAAAGCAGCTCGAGCTTTTTGGATCCGTGCTGAGATTTCGTCACCAATCAATCCGTTGGTGCTGATAATAGGCAGCCTTGTCTTACTCACTTGAAAGTCAGGCTTCTCTGAGTTTTCCGTTGTGAATCACGTAATATATGGCATTATCATATAATTGTTGAATGAGGCTGATAAAAATTTGGGTGGGCACTATCTATTGGCGAATTAGTCTCCAAATTACTTCGCGATTAACGTTGCGTTAAGGCCTGTTGTCAAGGTCTTAATGAAAATGAAGTAGACGTTTGACTGCCATTATTCTGGAAATCAGGATGTCAATTCCAGTCAGTTTGCGACTTGTCAGGTTGTTGCCCCACCAACGCCTCATTACTCAGTGATGTCCCCACTAGGACTTGAACTCTGCACCTGTTACTTCAGAAAGCAAAAGTGTTATTCACTAAACCAAAAAGACTAAGTATTCCGGAGCAGCGTTATCAATATGCCACAGAATATAAAAAAATGAAATTTTGAACAAATAAAAGTAATTCAAGCACTTACAGTCCAATTTGGTGTAGCTGATATAAGTGAGTTTAGAGTACCAGTTGATGCGTTTAGTGATTCACTATTCACATTTTGCTGTTGACTATATAGTGTGAAGAAAATGCAGAAGGAAAAGAAATGACAGGAGAATGAATTAGGTAAGCAGATAAGAAGGTAAATACACAAATTATGCGTTGATGATAATGATGATGACGATAATAATGATAACGTTAAAATGAAAGAAAAAGTGTAAACAAACCAACTTTTTTCAAAAATAATAAAAAGGCAAATATTTATTTTATTAAATACACAAAGTAATAAACAGGTGTAATTACGTTTTAAGAAGAAAGATCATTGTATTCTTTAGAAAATTACTTGTTGGGGTGTGTTAAGTTTGTAATTGAAAAGATAGTTACTAGAATAGGGATACTAGTCAGTAGCTCGTGTAATGAGTCTAATCCTTCGTGTTGATGGAGACTTACTTCTTTCTGTCATTTAAGTTTGTAGTGTAGCCACCATGCCACTAGATGGCTCGCCATCACAGTACACTTTGAATTGTTTTTATTAGGCGGTTGGCAGCAATAGGCAGGAGGCCTCGACTGACCTAATTTTCGTGCCAGTTACCACTCACCAGTCATCAAGGTGTATCTGCAATCAGCTTGAATAAACTCCTGGCTCTTCTGAGATTCGAACCCGCGTCACCCACTGCTGCAGTCAGAGACGCTCCACCACTGAGCTATTCGGGCTCACGACTAACCTTCTGTCGGACTGTATTTGATATTTTTCATTGGACAATAGTCAGTAACTAGTGCAATGTGTCCAGTCCTTTGTTGGGTGCAGACTGAATTCTATCAGTCGAGTTTGCGATGTGGCCAGCATGCTACTCTAGGTGGCTCGACATCACAGTGCACTTTGAATTATTGATATTAGATGGTAGGAGGCAACTGGCAACAAGGCTTCCTGTCGATTGCCTCCAACCATCTATATACCAAAGGAATTCCTCCTTTTCATAAATTAATTCTATATATTTGGTGAAGTTTCATATATTTCAAATGTTGGATATCATCAGCGATTAGCATGTAGCTCAGTGCATTTGAACTAGTTCAACTGTTTTGGCTCACTGATACCCGTTGAAAACCCTGACAATCAAATACTAGTCAGACAACTAATGTAGCTGATAATTTAACTTTAAGATATAAGTAATTCCTCTTTGTTTAATTGGATCTTCTCTCATTTTTCCGTTACTGTAAACTGCTCGATATAAGTGTATTGTAGTGGAAAGATAGGCTGAAAAATCCCTCATGGACTACCCAGTCCCAAGTCGATATTTACTAGCATACTTCAACTAACTATGTAATTCAAGTATTGGTTTGTAAGGATTTGGTTGATTGGTCACATGATTTCATCATGAGCTGACATCAGTTAGAGAACTACTGGAAAACCTAAGAATACTGGACAGCTGTTTCATCAGCCCAGTTTGGGACTCTTCAGCAGTACTTACCCACCGCCAGCGTTCGAACCCAGGACCTTCTGGTTACAAGGCTAGAGAGCTTGTAGAAATTAAGCCACTTTTAAAGGACCCGATCTAACTTCTGCCAATTCACGATATAGCACAACCGCTAGCCAATGTCTTCAGTGAGTGGCTTAATGGTCCACGACCTCGCTTTGAAACCAGAAGGTCCTGGGTTCGAACGCTGGCGGTGGGTGAGTACTGATGAAGAGTCCCAAACTAGGCTGATGAAAAAGCTGTCCAGTATTCCCAGGTTTTCCAATGGTTCTCTAACTGATGTCAGCTCATGATGAAGTCAAGAATTAATGATAATATAATAATAGTTTGTAATTCAAATAAAGGGTATTTCTACCTACGATAAGCCACCAGTTACATTCAATGAAGAAAGCCTTCTTCGTGGTCGAACTTCGACTAACTTTTTCATCAAAATTAGTGATTCACAAGATAGTGAAGGAAAAGCTACCACTGCTGACCTCATCAATGTGCATTTATCGATTTATCTACTCATGTGGAGCTAGGTATGTCGCCGTAAGTAGCGTTTGTCGTCAAACCACATCATGGAGCACCTACTCTCATAGTTTTATTAAAGCGAAGAAAGACCCCACAGACACATCCGCAGTTCTATCCTGTTTCACATCAATCTAACCTGAAAACGAGCTAAGAAGTCATCTGCAAAATAAGCAGGAATCTTTCTAAAAGAGTACGACTCAAAATTCTTCAAACCACAGAAGCAGTGGAAATTCATATGTTGAATGGCGAATTCTCCTTATAGAACAAGTTTTTCCAGTCACTAAGTCAGATAAGGACCTGATCTGTCTTAACACTGTATATTTATACTTTATATTACTTAATTGTTATTTACAATTTACAGTCCCAACGACACAACTTTGGAAATATTTCTTTTTTTGGTAATTAAATTTACTACATATATGGAATTGTACAGCTTGAGAATAATGTCACTCAAAAGAGTAACTCTTAGCTCAATGTCTTTTCTTTTAAATAACAGAGAATATCAATATAAGTATAAAACTTGGGTACTGTGGTAGACTTCATGCAAATACCGGAGGTATAGAAGATATTATTACCACCAGTGAAATCAGAGGAAGATAATAAATAATCTTAAAATTCTATCTCAATTCATATACATTATAACATTCTAACAAGTTACTTATTTTGACTATAAAAACATTCGTCTTATTTCCCATCTGATTGTAATTGATCAATAACACTCATATTATTATCATTTCTGAATGTACATTATCACATATTGGTTTTTATTCAAATGTCTAATCATCAGTTTTTACTCATGTGTATAAATGAAGCAAGAAAGTTGCATGAGTGACGTTATATGATTATGAGTGGCAATGATAAATTGTGCTCGAAACGTGGTGGCATCAGTAAATATTACTGTATAATAACACTGTGTGATTAATCAAAATAAAATCTTATCTACAATGAAGAAAATATCAAACCCACTTTTTTGGTGACTTTAAAGCTAATGAATTAAATCTGTGTGAAACTGTGCTTTGTTTAGTCTGGTTATTTGTTATTATAAAGTAAACATAGTTGAAATACATATTTCACCTCATAAAACACATCTCACATTACTTTTATGTTTCATACTTAAGTTTACAAAAGTCTGAATTTATTATTTCTAGACTTCCCATCATGAAGATATTCCTGCATCCTTTTATCCCTCTCTTCATTAGTGTCGAAATCAATTCAGTTGGTGACGTAGAAGGAAATACTAGCTTATAGATAATGGTGAAGCCAGATAAAAAAAGACTACCGTTCCCAGTGGAACATAGTGCTTCAGGTGTGTAGGTGTGATACAGACAATGTGTGCCAACGGAATGTTACTGTAACATGTTCCCACAGTTTAATTCGGCATTAACACAGAATACGATATTCCTATTTGAACATTCCATTTCATGTCATTTGATGTTAAACCAAGATCACACGCTCAGTTAGCGAATTGGTTAACGAATATAAATTGTACATATATAAACAGCGGTTTAGTTATTGAAAAATATACTTTCGCTTCCGTGTCTTGCCATCTGTTGTTACACAAATTCCAGTTTTAAAGTTTCAGTAGCAGCAGAGTCCTTTTTACGAGGTAGGGTTGCTAGCCTCCACGCCCAACCTTTCCTCTTTACTGAGTTCACTACCGGCTAGACGAGATTTAGGGGGTGAGTCAGCCAGTATTTGAACGCCAAACTACATCCATGGTTGGTGAGTATTCTACCCCTGAGTCACTGATGACAATTAGCTCAGTACTACCGAAACTGATCAGTATTTGTCGATATGATCTTAACATTAGATTACAACTTTAGCCTATTTTAAATCATCCAAACTAAAAACACTTTATCACCTTTCCACTAGTTCCTGTTCATTCTAAACGAGCCTACTGAATAGTCATTATCTCACACTTATTACCTCGAGCCAACTTCTGCCTCTTTTATAACTTACACTTAGTCATCTCTTCTGGGTTACACCTTACATTATATAATGCATTTTTCGAGGACAAAGTTTATCAGTGTCTGATTGGTTTAAAGATTTCTTTGTTAAATAAATAATTAGGATTGTACAGCTCATGAAAATGAATCGTCAAAAAAAGAAATTTTCTTCGCTGTTTACGCCTTCTTCTTATATCATCCAAACTAGTAATATTTTAGGGTGGATTAAGACGAATACTTAAAAATTACTTTCACTAATATGCTCTGAATATCACTGGCGTATATCTGTGTAATAAAGAAAGTCAATTTCTGTAGGGGAAGAACTAGTTTTCTGTAGTTTTTTCTAGTTAAATTGTTTATTGTCTCACTCATTTATTTGAACGCAAACTTTGTGCAGTGTGGGTATCAAGGGTTGTATCCTTCATAAATCATATCGTACAGCCAAAAGTGAGTAAATTCTAGTCTTCTCAAATTCATCGCCGCTGTTAGGTTATTATATTATTCATTGACTTCACGCGGTAGGGTGGAGGGTGTCATCACAAAGGTGAAAATGAAAATGGCAAATGTTTGCCGCTTATCAATGAATTGATGGGTGTTAAGATTCAGCTTAAAAAACTTTGACTTCACATATGGACTTCAGAATGCCAAAAACATGTGTGGTAACTGTAGGAATGCAGGTCTTGAAACTAGTGTGCCAAGTGAAAGCCCCACTCAGTGGTCTCTCCTTCGGGTGTGCAGTCACTGTCTTATCTCCTCCCCACACATATGCATATATAAATCATGAAAACAACAGTCAGTGGAAGACTACACTCACACGTACACACACAAGTATACATTATTTCGAGCAGCGAGAGAACAAACACTAGTGCAGTATAGCATGGATACATTTTATTCTGTTGGTTCTCATCAGCTGCAAACAACCTGTAATCTTTATTAAATAATGGTCAGTGTAAAATTTGACATACTTTTTTCCATCGGCAAGCATACTGTAAGTGTCATGGTGAGATAAAGACATCAGGGCGACGAGGTAGCTTAGGTATTACAGCTTAAATATATATATTTATCATGTTAGAGAGAGGTTAATCAAAAATTAATTGACAAGTTTGTTGTTAAGGTGGTAGCACAAATTAGTAAAAA